GAATATTCTCAGCGATGGAAATCCCTGGATGAAATGGAAAAACAGCAAAGGGAACAAGTTGAAAAAAACATGAAAGATGCAAAAGACAAATTGGAAAGTGAAATGGAAGATGCCTATCATGAGCATCAGGCAAATCTTTTGCGTCAAGGTAAAAGACCCTCTTGTGTAAATTTCCCTGATAGGATCAGTTGCTTTTTGAATTTTTTAGAACCCCATTAATGTGAATTCAAAACAATTTTCTAATGTTCAGATCTGATGAGACGCCAGGAAGAATTAAGACGCATGGAAGAACTTCACAATCAAGAAATGCAGAAACGTAAAGAGATGCAACTAAGGTAAAATTTTTGTTAAGCTAATTAGCCTTTGCTTCTGGTTAACATTTAGAGGAAAAGATAGACCTAAATTTTGCAGGTGAGTGTGATGGAGTGCAGAGAGGTTAAATACTACTGTGACAGTGTTGGTTTAACACAAAGTTGGAGTGTAAGGTTTTGATTAATGACGCCTGTTTTTGTTGCCAGAATGCTTCTAAGTCTGTTCTGCGCTCTCTCCAGACCTTCATGTGTGTTTGCTGTAACCTAGACTTGTAAAGATATGAGGCAAACTACTAGCTTTCTTCAAATTGGCTTTTAAAAGATATGGATGGCACTTTAGTTTATATGCTTGATGAATATTTCTAGGCAAGAAGAAGAACGACGTAGAAGGGAAGAAGAGATGATGATTCGTCAGCGTGAAATGGAAGAGCAAATGAGACGCCAAAGAGAGGAAAGTTATAGCCGGATGGGCTACATGGATCCAGTAAGTAAAATTCTTTTGAAATGTAATGGGAGTTGTCTACAAAACTTGTAGGTACTAAAATGAAATTTTACTCAAATAATGACCTTTCACTTCACTGCTGTTCTTTTTACAAGTGTGTCATTATCATGATTAATTCGCTTTGTTTTATTTTCTTGGCGGGGCCTAAAGATTTCATTAGTTGGGAAGAAGCTTTACGGGTTTTCTGATAACTGAGTCTCACCAACTGTTTTTAGAATATTGGTTCTGAATGTAGTCTTAACCTTTTTTTAAGTTTTGGAAATTTCTGTCTTCTCAAGAATTCTTAGTAGAGGTATAGTACAGGTGTATGAAAGGGGTTTTTTTTCTTGCAGAGAGAAAGAGACATGAGAATGGGTGGTGGAGGAGCAATGAACATGGGAGGTAAGCATGAAGATCAAATTAGCAATACCATTAGAGAGCAATGTTCTGGTTGAGTTGTAACCAGCATTTTTGTTTCCTAGATCCCTATGGTTCAGGAGGCCAGAAATTTCCACCTCTAGGTGGTGGTGGTGGCATAGGTTATGAAGCTAATCCTGGAGTCCCACCAGCAACAATGAGTGGTTCCATGATGGGAAGCGACATGGTAATGTATCCTGTATGACGTAGTACAAAGGAAATTCTCATTTTTCACAACTTACGTGTGTGTGTTTTGTTTTTTGTTTTTGTTTTTGTTTTTTTAAGTAGGTAACTGGACCTCTTTTTAGTTCCCTTATCATGTAAATCATAATATTGAGGAATACTTTGGCAACATAGAAGAACTCAGTGTGCGGTAACCTAAACAAACGGTTGCCAACAAGAAGTCAATGCTGTCAGTAGTATGTTGGAGTTCTCTTTGGCAATAAGTAGGCATAGGTGCTTTCCATTATATTGCTTGTGTACTTTTGCACTCTAGCACATGGCAAATCCAAATTCTAAATGTTAGATGATGTACCTGATTATTCTACATACAAGTAAGAGTAATCAAATGGCAAACTGTCATTCATTAAGCTGATATTTGCCATAAGTATGAATCAGACTTGTAGTTTATAGTTTTAGGCATGTTTTAGTGATGTGTAGGACTTTGACCTATATTTGGTGTGGTTTCTACCCATGAAAAGGGAGTTGTTTACTGTTTTGACTCGTCGTTTCCCACTTGTTGGGCCTGTCAATAGGTGCACCTTCTAAAATAAACTGACATCTCTATTTTGCTACAGGATAGCAAAAATGAGTGACAATTTTAAGCATACTAGTTGTGTGCATTTGATCTGAACCTTCTTGATGCTTTCATATTTTAACTGTACAGATAGCCTATCAGGATGCTTTAAAACCACCAAGTGGATTGGTCTAAGTGGCTGTGTTAGGGCTTTACAAATCCGTAGGAAAATTGAATATTGGATTAAGAGGTGGGTTTAGAGAAGAGTGCATTTTCACAACTGAACTAAATCTGAATTGGTTCACCTGCAGGCTTTTGGCAAAGGAGGGAAGCTGCAGCACATAGCCCGTTAGATTCATTTTACATATAGGAGTATAAGGATTTAGTATGGGGCCTCATCTATTTAAAATCTACTTAAGGCTTTTTGAGAATTAGAATCATAAATAGCTGGTTGGGTTAAAACATAGTGTTACTAGCTTTCTTTAAATTAAATTTTAAAAATACTGTGGGTAACATTTTGGTTTATATGCTTTCTAAAAGGTAGATTGTAGGTCTGTATCAAATTTATAAAATCTAATTTGACGTGATGTTCCCACAATTAGGGTTCTTTGTATGTCCCATGTAACAGGTAGGGTTCTAAGATGTTGTAATAACATAATCGTGAAACCCCAAAATTTTCTTAGAGCTTTTGCGATATACAGCATAATGCGCTAAAACCCTGAGATTTTTAGGATTTTGAGGAATAGTTTAAAGGATTGAGATTTAGTTTTTTAAGTAGCCTTGTAGTATTTAGTAGGAAACATGTTGGAACTATGTATAGGAACAGTTAAACCCTGATGCATTTTCCCCCCATTTTTGGAGTGATGCTCTCAGTAACTTACTTTGAGTGGAATTTGAAAGATAATTGAGGCTTCTGTGCTTTGCAAATCTATAGGGTTTTTCTGTTGGGGGAATATAGGTTTCTCAGATTAGAAGTACTTAAAACTAGGTGGAATAGTGAAATCCTGCTTTATTGCAGTTACCGAAGCTTGGTGTTTAGGCTGTTTGGGAGATAGCCAAAACATGGAATCATAGCTAACCAGTGGACTTTCAAAGACTGGAAGGAAAAGCTGGGCCGGTGTGGGGGTGGGCTGTATATTCAGTCAATTTGCAACAGTATTGGCTACTACTGTGAACATAATTGTCTCTGGTTATATAGTGATGGTTCTGAAGGTCGTATACCTGTGAGAATATGGCAACACTTTTTTTAATGAAGTAACTGTGCCGGTTAAGTGACTAAATCTGCTAGTCTTTTATGCTTTTTCTTTTTGTAGTCTGGTAGCATTTTATTAAAACTTTGAACCTTTTAAGGTTTCTGCAACTTAGCAGATGTGTCTTAAGATCTTGAAAAGCACAAGGTTTCTTATGCAGCTCATGCCACTAACTGGTGAGTAGGTCTTTGTCACTTCATTGAGTGCATTGAATCTGTCTGGTTGGGCTTGTTAGGCTTACTTGGAAATTAAATTTCCTGTTCAGACTTTGAAAGTGAGAAGTTTGCAAGCTTTTCCAGTGGGTTAATCTGATGTGAAATTTCTTAAAACTCATTTTGGAATGGGTTTTCACATCTGCACTAATTCTTAAATTTTTTAGCACTACAGGGAAGACCTATTCTTTGAAACAGGTGTATGAGAATGGCTCAAGTGGGAACATACCACAAGGCATGTATTATCGTAAACTAATTTTCAAATTACCCTTTTTTCCTTTCTATGTTCCCGGTACCTGTGGATCGACTCATTGGTGATTGTATCGACGAACGTTGACTACGGAACCTTCTAAAATAATTACTTAACACACATGGACATCAACTACATATAATGAACTGTTAATTACTGTTCCAATAGCGTACTGAGCGCTTTGGGCAGGGAGGTGCGGGACCTGTGGGTGGACAGGGTCCTAGAGGAATGGGGCCTGGAACTCCAGCAGGATATGGTAGAGGGAGAGAAAGAGTATGAAGGCCCAAACAAAAAGCCCCGATTTTAGATGTGATGTCTAGGTTTTCATTCCAGTTTGTTTTTGTCTTTTCTTGTTTAGATACCAATCTTTTAAATTCTTGCATTTTAGTAAGAAAGCTACCTTTTTATGGATGTTAGCAGTTTATTGACCTAATATTTGTAAATGGTCTGTTTGGGCAGGTAAAATTATGTAATGCAGTGTTTCAAACAGGGGAATTTTTTT